AAAAAAAAAAAAAAAAAAAAAACTACAACTGAGATAAAGGGTATAGTTTGCAGCAAAGGTTAGGATCATTTCTATGGAACATAATGTCACCATAAAATGGTTCAAGTTACTGCATGATTTTCAGCTTTAGAAAATAAATATAAAAAAAATGAAATGTGATATGAAACAATAAATTAGGGAGACTATTAAATAAGGTTTAAGGCCCACCACAAAATTATTATGAGCTATCTAAAAAAATTGAGACATAAGCACACCAGAGTCTGAGATACGATTTTTTTACCTGAAAATTAAAAAAAAAATAAAGTGCTGGAACAGAAAATACACAAACAAATGCTTGTGGAAAAAAATCAAAAACACGTATTTAGAGATACGTTTTTTATCGTAAAACGTATTTTTCAGAATATGTTTTCCATTGTAAAAAAATTTGTAAAACGTATTATGAGAATACGTTTTACAATTAAATTTGTAAAGAAAACGTATTCTTAAATACGTAGTTTTCATGTTGTTCCACATCTTTTTTTTTTTTTTGTCCACTTGAATGTTTATTATTTTTAATATAAAAATTTCTCTCTGAGATACATATAGTCATGACACACAACAGAAAAACTACGCAATAGATATAGTTCTCCAACCTTTCCGTAGATCCACCCGCATTCCAGTTATCACCGTCTGTTGAGATTGCTGCCCCATCCATCCAGTCTTCAAACATAAAGGCAATTAATGCAATGGACAGAAAAAACAAAGAGGGAAGAGTAATAAAGAACCAAATGTCACTAGTGGAAAAGCAGAGGTGAGCCAGTTTGGTTCAAGATCACAAAAAGATTCCTACCTCTTGCACCATCCTGTGTCCCGAGAAAATCAAATGGTTTTATAGACCCCAACTCCTCCCTGTATAGCACCAATCACAAAATTCAAATGATTCAGAATGATACAAGATATGTGATAGAAACTATTCCAGGTGCAAGAGATATATTTCAGTACCCCTGGGCAATGGCAGAATTCCTTTCACGAACTTCAGATAGATGCTCACATTTCACTGTAGAAGTATAAAAGGCTTTTAAATTAACAATTCATGCTAATGACACAATACAGATCGAGTTGGTAAAACCATACCAGTGAGAATTCTTTGCTGAGAATCCAGCTTCACAGTGACATCAGTACGACGAACAGACAAAACACGACAACGGAAACCCTTCAAGGGTCCCACGCGAATTCTTACCGACTGACCAGCGGAAAACATTGTATCATCATCACGTTTAACTGCAATAACAGAGAGAGGGTCCACAAAATAGAAGAAGATTTGTTAGAACTTACAATTTCAAAGAAGAGCTAAAGAAAAATCTCAAAGCAGCTTTATAACATACAGTTGCTTGTATTATCCCTCTCTTGTTTGTCAGGAGATAGAGGAGATTTTGGTGATGACAATACATCAGGAAAACATGAAAGCTCTGGGTCACCACCCTGAAATCATATCAAGAATGCAGATGTAACAAGAACAAAAACATTAAGAAAATTATGTTAAAGAGCCAGCAGCACCATTTGCCAACTACTATATCAGACCTTTTCATTTGACAAATCACCAGAAAGATTTACTTTCTCACAAAGTTGAGCTCTGACACATATGTAACCATTATTCTCCTCTTCACTTTCATTGTATAAAAACAGTATCCCTTTGTAGATCTTTTTAACAGATCCTTGTCTATCCTGCAAAGTTTGATCAATATACATAAATTCTCAATTCAGGTGCTCAAAATCAAGCGAAAGAAACATTTTGAAGCTCGGAAATAAAAACTCCATCAGACCTTTAACGGACCCTCCAAAACCCGGACATTATCATTGACTGACAAGGTCTTTGAGTGCTTATCCAAAACAGAAAACAATTTCTTATCAAAAGTTGCGCCTTTAAGCTCATTTTGTTTTACAGTAACCACCAATGGTCCTTCTGAGCCTTCTTTTATAACCTGAAACAAGAAGAATGCATGAGAAACACAAAAAATATGGAACCTCGGATGCAAAATGGAGAGGAATCTTAATAAATACAAGGTAATGAGCTCTATAAAACCTTCACACTATCGTCTTTCTCCGTGCCAATGACAACACCGAAGTCTTTCCGACTGAAAAAGGTTGGAGAACAGAGCATGTCAATTAAAGCAATGGCTACATCCATCATATGATGTGACAAAGATCAAGACCTACCCAATAAAAACTAGATCATGCAGTTCAAAAGTATTCTCCACAGTAGCACTAGAGGAGCCCTCTGCTTTTCCTCCCCCTTTGTCCTTAACAATTTTGACCTCCTTTCTCTTTTTCTCCCCAAAAAGTTGAGATAGCCACTGTACATCAGTAGATTCCTCCTTCTTCGAAGGCTCAAACTTCAATAGCTCATCTTCAGTAGGCATTATACCCCAATAAGTCAATGAGTCAAGTGACACCTTTTTATACAAATAACCATCCTTTAGCATCATCCCATCAAGAACCTCAAACATCTGGTTTGTATCACGGTCTCGACGAAATTGGATAAGAGGACGGAACTCCCTGAATGTTTAAATCAAATGTCACAAAGTGAAAAATAATGGGGAAAAAAAGAACATAAGAAACAGGCAAGAAAGTAACTTACTCAAGCTCGCTGGAGCTGATCAGTCTCTGTGCTGGCGCGTCACTCCTCCTACCACTAACTCCTCCACCCTATAGGTAGATTTAAAAAGCATGGTAACATAAAGTTTTATTAGAATTTAGAATCAACATTTATGCAATGGCCTAATACCAAAATTCATGAGTAATTTCATGCGGAAAATTGCTTGTGCTTCAACACACTTGAAGCAGGAAGTAAACTTAGCTAGCCCCAAAACAATCCCACCTCAACAAATAAGCGACAACAAAGGAAAGGAAGGTTAGGAGAAACGAAAAGCTCACAAGAAATGAAAAAAATTGGGCGAAAGTGAAAAAGAAGCGGTTCGAATACCACAGATCAAAACTAAGTAATAACAACTTGAAAACTAAACTTAGCACTATGAACAAAGGTGGATATGATAAGACAAAATAGAGGTAAAGCTGAGGAATCAGGGCAGAAGGTTATATGTATTATCATTCTTTCATATACACCATTAGTTTCTAGTAAGGAAAACTCAAAAGAATGGAAATGCAGATAAACACTCCAGTGACACCTTAAAGGAAAGCAATTCAGATAATCATGAGTAAGCTTCCCCTTGTATACATACAGAATGATATTGATAGAGTGAGGATATTTGCTGAACTTATTTAGATATAGGCAATTCAAACACTTTAATACCCAACACAAAACACATTGCATACATGCACAAGCACATAATACCAGTATAAGGCAAGAGCACATGCGAAACAATATGAAGAAATATTCTTACAAATTTTGCAGCCATCGCTTTCAAATCTATCCGTGGAATAAGTTTCACAGTGACTTTCTTCCGAGTATGATTCACTGCAACAACCTACATGTAGTATTGGTAACATTCCACAGAAGTTAGCACCTAATTCTAATATCCAAATTAATGTTTCAAAAATGGACCGAGATCACAAACTAGAGACCACATTTAAGACAACATATAAAATGTATCATACCTGTGCAAGATCGCCTTTGTATTTCCCATTCTTGACACGGGCCCACATTCCCTCTGATATTCCACTTGACAGGCTTCTGACTGACAGAAGATGAGAGATTTCATTATTAGGAACAGCCGCCACTCTACTTGGATATATACTGGAGATCCCTTTACATGCCTGTATTTTAAGAAAATAGTAGGCAATCAGACATTACCAGAAACTGTCCATGAATAGGCACTTACAAACCCTGTATCCACTACCAACACCCTCAAAAAAGAATAAAGATAATAGAGAAGGAGCAAGAAAAGCACCCCATAGATATCTTGTTGCTTTTCAGCTTCAATAAAGATAAAGCCCTTTACATGGTCAACCGCACATGCAGATATTATCTGCAGCTTATTTCCCAAGTAATTCATGTCTACAAACTTTTGCATCAGGCAAAAAGCTGAATATCTCTCACGTCCAACCTAGGAAGAACATTTGTACATGAACTTAACATACGAAAACATCATTGATAACTCAGTTCAAACGTTGCATTGAGTAAAGCCATAAGTTAACAGCATCTACCATGCATTTTACTTTCCAGACAACAGGATCCTTGGCAGAGGAAACAAAAAAATTTTTGTCAATGGGTCTCTTCTGATCATAACGATCTTCCACGTTAGTAACAAAACCAGCTCCAGGTTTGTATCGTTCTTCCATCATTCTATCATATTCTTCCTCCTCTAACACCTCAGCTTTTATAAAAGGAAGTTCAGGCCCTTTTGCAGATTCATTATCGTTTTGGAGCTGTGAGATAAATTCATCTTCAAAAAAATCTGTTTCAAGGTAGGAAAAAGCATTCAGTAAACAGTAAAAATTCATCTTCATTTTACTGTTTTCTCCAGTACAAGTACAACCGCAGAGAAGCTACAAGAAAGTGATGATAATTACATTCACAATGCAACAGATATAAGAGCCCTCACATGCAACAATATCAACAGTTAAAAAATCAAATAATATTCTGATCTCAGTCTCTATTTTACCAATAATCCTTGAAAAAATGAAGCTTGAAACCATCCCAAAAAACAACAACATTTCCTCCAAACAGATCACCACATAACCACCCCAAAAAGTGGTAGAAAAATAATAGAAAAGAGGAAAGCCAACAACAAAGAAAACAAGCAAATGCAAAACCGAAAACATAGCAAACAGAAACATTTAAAATTCTCTTTCCCTAGGGTTTATCGTCAATCCATTACCGTCGACACTGAACAAGGAATCGTCGCTGGAATCTTCTTCCTCGTCAACCTGGTACGCCGCGTCATCGAAGAACTGAAGCACTCCGCGGTTCTTCCGCTTCCGGCCAGTTTTGTCATCGTCGCCTCCGCCGGTGCTCTTCCTTTTGCCCTTTCCTCCGCCGTCAATTACCTTCTCCTTGCCCTTATTCGAAACCATTCCGATGGCACCAAAATTTTCGCCCAATCCTCTACAGATCGATTCTAAAATGTCTATAGCTATGAAATAAGTACAGTCGCGGTCTTGAGACTTCAGACGGTGGGGAGAGTGAACCAAATGTTTGATTGGATATAGATTTTTTATAATTATAGTTAATTTTGAAAATGTAATATAGTAGTAGATTTTTTATTTATATTAAAATAATATTTAAAATAAAATAATTAAAATATGTAAAAGTACGAGTGAGATTATGTGAAATGATTGTTAGTTAAAGGTTGTATGAATTAATGAATAGTTAAATAAAATTGAAGTGATGATTGATCAACATTATTTACTTATAAGAATAATACTGAATATAATGGGGTCGACTTAAATTTGAATTATAATTGATTTTTTTTATTGAATTAATACTCAATCACACCCGTAACAATTTTGTGTGTCCCAAAAAGAACCCTTGTTGAGGGCATTATTGTCCTTTAATCATGTAAATTATACTCGGATGATTCATTATTTTTTTTTTTTATTTCCAAAATCCCTATATAAGTGGAATCATATGAAAAATAGTTATAGTGAAATAAATAAAAATGAATCATAGTCTACCAAAATAAAGAAAATGATTAAGTTAAATTTTAATTTTAACAATCAAACATGTAGTGACAATCTCATAAATAAGTGGTCATATTATTACCAAATTTTTATAGTTGACCACTCAATAAAGGCAAAATCCTCCCTATATATAATTCATGAATGCGTTGAGCCTACGTGGCTGTTTCTGGTGCTTCGGAATCCTACTTGGCAAAAAATCATGCTTCGTAAATAAGTTTGGACAAATAATATTGATATATTAATAACTAGTACAACACCCGTGTATTACACGGGTGTTTGTTAAAAAATTATTCTTAAATTTTAAAATTAATGAGAAAACTATATTAAATTTAGTTTACTTTTTTACAAAAAA